TTAAAATTGAACCATGCCTCTTTTTTAGGAAGTATTTCTCTGGTTAAAATAACATCTAAATGGAAGTAAACCTGTGCAAGATTTAGAGAATGCTTGCACAAAATCACTCAAATGATGTCACCTCCTCAAGAACCTTCAGCAAGTCATGAGGGAATCAACAGAGAGCTACTAAGGTGGATCTAAACTTCAACATATGAAGAGTTCATATAAATTCTGGTTTCACATGTGGTCTCATCATTTGTATAAGAACATTTTTTACCTTAATATTATTACAATAGGTGCAGTAGACAAACATTAGCATTCTTTCTTTCCATTATTTACTTAAAATGGTAAATACCAAATAGTAACCTCAGAACATCACGTTTCACTCTTCATGGTCTTTATGCACTACAAGATTCATTGAAACATTTAATCCAGAAAATTAAAATGTCCAAAGCAGCCCTCTGAAACTCAGAGATAATCACACAATCCAGCCTGGAGCCTGCTGAAATACTCAAACTGAACAAGCTGCTGTTGTAAATTCTCTCACTCCATGCCACCCGTCTCCCAATAATCTGATGATTCAAAAGGGATAGRACCAAAAGTGAGAAAATAGTGAAAACACAAAACCACAGTGACTTAAAAAATAAACAAAAAGCCCAACCCAAAACAATCTGACTCACAACTGACTGGGGTTTTTTAGGGATACACAGAAGCCTAGCAAGACACGGTGTTTATTTAATCACATTCATCAACTTTTTCACAGCAGCACCCACATTTTCACCCCAAATGTAGAAATAAAATACACTTCATGCCCATGCTGTTTAGTCCAAGCAAAGCTGGGGTGCAGATCTTCATGTGCACCTTTTCAATACAGAATTGTATAATGAAATTCACTGTGAGGCACATAWTTCATGTGGTCATTCCAGGGATTTCACATAATCCTGACATKAAGAAAAAAGCAGCCAGGGATTCCAGTTCTTGACACAGGATGTGAACACAGCAGCTCGTGCATTTGTTAACACAGATTTACCTGCTCACCTTTGGGTACAGCAAAGCAATGAACAGCACTGAAATATCTGTACCTAGAGGACTCCTGGAACCTGGATGCAGCTCAGAGCATAACAATTATGCTTTTGGCACATAAACTATACGGTTTTAAGGTAGTTCATCAAATGCTTTAGACAAGCTGTAGGGAGGCTCAGTCTTAAGCTCCACTTACACAACTACTACACTTACCTGTAACCTCAATTTTTTTCATCTTACTCTCTGTGTCCACCCCGCTCACTTACTCTAATATGAGCTAAGCACAGATAAAAGTTGCAGGAATTTCTCCAACACCTCTACCCTTCTTTCAGATTTTGCAACTTTATTTAAGTGACTGTARTCCCAGTCAAGAACAGGCAAATGGTCCAGAAAAAAACCTGCCTACCCAGTTTTAATGAGAAACACAGGCTTGAATAAAAAGATACTAAACYACTTTTTAAAAAAATTGTAAAATTATTCTGAGTTACACATTYTTAATGGGCAGAAAACAATACATTATACACTAAATTTATTGTAAAGAATTCGTATTATAGGACCCAAATGATAGTTTATTATGCACGCAAATATCAGTTTAAACTTGTAACTAACTAAATCACTTAACAACCCTAGGAGTTTTACATCTTTCTGTCAGCAGTTTATTTCTTCAAAATCTGGTGTGCTCAGGCTTCATCCACAGTTATGCATCACCAGGAACCTGCAGCACAGTAGCCCATGAATATTTACATCTGCCCCTTGACTGAACACACCTGTAAGCCTAGAGCAGGTTTCCACAATTTGTTTGACTTGACAATACCTTTTGAAGAATAATCCAACATTTTCAGGCCATAGAGTTTGCTGCTGGTAAAGGGTTCTAACAGTATCGTTAATTTCTATTCTTACTAAGTAAACTAACCAGCAATGTCTGACTTTCAATTTCACATCCATTTTCTTGCTGATGTGAGAAAGCTTTTTGCACTGTTCCAGTTTGCTAACAAAGTGCTTTGTTTATTTAATTTAAATTGCACCAAAAATCTGGGTAAGGAAACTCGATACTCTCAAACCARCAACTTTCCCAGCAGCAGTTTATACACAGGAACAGAGGAGTAAAACAAAACACCTAAGCCAGTGCATCCAGTTCCTTATAAACTTGTAATAAACACCTGGAGGAAAATAAAACAAACTTCATGTCATCAGCACACTAGACTAAACATTGCAGCATATCCATTARGTGCTGCTGATCTGCCTTAATAAACAAACAAAAAATCCCTCCCAAAACCCAAACCCAAACAACACCACCCTCGCCCCAAAGAAATACTACTGGATTCCAAAGGGAACAGGAAGAAAGTTTCGTGTTTTGTCAGTGTCCAAATATTCTCTGGGAAACACAGGGATGGAGCTCCATAACCTCCAGTACTTCTCGCCTCTTCCACCTCATTGGTTTTTTGACGGTCATTAAGTAGAGAAGACAAGCACTCATTATCTTTCCTATCCACTAAGTGAAGAGGATGTATTTTACCCAAAGAAACCTTGAAAACACAAACTGATTTCATAAAAGCCAACTGGTGTCAGGCTGATAGGCAGGTCCTCCACTTCCTATATAATCTCCACACCAGGTGTTTTTTGTGGGCATGCTACATACAGAAAACAACAAAGGGCTTATTTTTACATTGCCATCAACTTAGGACTAATTTTAAAGACGATACTTGAAATGCCTGTATCCCTTTATATGTATTCTTCAGATTATCCCTGTAGAGTGAGACTAATCCACTGTCTTGCCCAAGAGGCTGAATGTAATTACACAGCAGCAATGATTCTGGAATTTCAGGTGTTCAAACTAGAAAATGTCAGTACTAAAGTTTTTAATGTGCACTTGTACTACACAGCAAGTAGTAACGGTCCACAGAAGACTCTGCAGACTGTCTGTAGCAGGAGTCAAAAAGACAGAACAAAATGCAATTCAGGGTTCACAATTCAGTTGAATGAGCCTCTGCAAAAACTTCCACCAAAGGATTTCCCAAAAATAACATCCTCATGTAGTACAAAATAATGTAAAATTTCTATGTACAAACTACACAGAATAATTTAAATTGAGAGAGAGGCAGCTGTGACAGTTTGTGCAAGTATAAGTAGATATGGAAATGTTTCTAAATATTGTGAATTATGATTTTATAGTGGAAGATTGAAAAAATATGCATCTACTTAAACCATTAGAAAAATTAAGACATACTACTGTCAGTAACAGCTCTTTCCTTAATGTCAGCACATCACAGAGAAAAACAAACATCTGACAATACTAATGGTCAAGCTAATTGTAAGACCATAAAAAGGGCTTTAGGATTTTTCACATCTGTAAAAGAAATTATTATTCTGGGAATTAGTGATCGCCAGTATAAAAGAGTTACAATTTTTTCCTCCACATTTGAAATTGCAACTACTTCAAAGGCAGTCTTCAGAAGCCACCAAAGAAGCTTTATTAATTATATTACTGCTGTAAGTCTTCTGACAAGTGTGAAAAAGCATTTATTGGAGACAGGAAGAATTTATAAACCACTTGATATTGAATGGAAGTTCCAAGCAGTTGGGTGGCTTGAATCAATCACTCCCAACTGTAGAAATGCTCAGTTCACATCACATGAAATTGAATCACACAGATATTCACACCTTTTTATTTCATATTCAGCAAAGCAGCATAAATCCTTCTTCTAGTCTTATGTCAAGAACTGCCAATGCTTTATTTAAGATGAGCCTTACACACTATTATGACATTAACTTGCTGACAACCACAGAATCCTTATGCCTTTCAGACATTTTAATGTTACCCTAGGGAACTAAAATTGTTTCCACATACTATTTTCAAAACGCAGAGAGGAAACACAACTAGCCAGTGATAGTTACTGTAAAGCACAGAGCTCAGYACCTCTCTAGCCCAGTGTTTCTGAGGTTTGAATTGCCCAGCAGTGCTCAGTCACAGCCATCATGCGTAGGACATGTGCTGATGCTCGGCATGACAACACTGTTTCATCCCGTCTTCAATCAACAAAAAAATCACTGTAGTTGTGCAATCTTATGACAAGCATATGCCTAGAATAATAGCACTCACTCTGCAGCTACCACTCAGTTCTTATTAGAGGATTATAACTTGTTATTYATGAGCATTATGCCATCTAAACAGTTTTAAAATCTCTCTCAGGAAGTGTTAAAAATGCTAAAAACGTTGCCGTGGTAGCAGACATATTATATTTAGTAAATGAACTCTGAAGTATTCTGKTGCATTAGTTAAGCATTCCACTATATTTATAATACTCAATTTTGTTTTTGTAGGAAACCATCAGCATTCAGAGTACAGGTAASAACAGGAGAACAAAGAGCTCACACACAGTTGAGGATCCCTTAGGAAATTGTGAGTGTTGACAGTCAGTTAAGGTGTTGTTATGAGCACTTCTTTTGAGTGTGGAAGGCACAGCGATCMTAACACTGAAGTTTCTTAATTCTTTTGTCTGAGCTCCAGAGTTACATATGCTAAAAAAAACTTGTAAATTGCAAGGTACACATTGTGCAAAAATGAATACAAATGAAGCCCTAACGCACATTTGTAAWGTATCTACTTTTGTTCCTTAAACAGTAACAATACAACATATTTTGTTCAGAATTATTTTATTTGGATTATAGCAATTAGTATCACTGATCAGTAGGCCAAATCCAGGCAGAGAGCACAGAATCAATTTCACAAGGCAACAACACGGACTAGTATTTYAGCATACAAACCATTTCACTGCATTATCAAGTTGAAATATCTTTCAACCATGCATAAAAAATCTATGCTTAGTCTTTCAGAGSTCCAGGTAATATCAGATTCCTAAATATACAAAAAATACATTTAACTTATAATAATCTTAGTGAATCAGACTTATAAAATTACAATTTTATTCTTCACAACATAGAAAAAAATACAAAAATGACTGTATATAGTTTTCACCCAAGTTGCACTGACATATACATCAAAAGATATGATTTGATGTATACTCATGAAAATTTTAAGCTGAAAGATAGGTTTTTAAATGACACTGCAGATTGGTCCACACAAATGCCAACCTTCATAATGATAACAAAAAACCCTCTGATAAAAACATCACATTGTGAAAAATTACAATTTACCTGCACTGTAATCTGCATCTTACTGTAATTTACAATATGAGCATTTCTACMATTCCAGTTGTAAACTACACACTGGTGAAAACCTTGGTCTTTTGGAGGGTAGTGATGAACTCAGACAGAGCTGGCATGGTAGAACATAAAGTGCTGTCAACTGAACCAGTGCACACAACAGAGAATACCAAAGCAGGGAAGGCCTGCTGGTTCAGATAGGCAGAGAGAACATGCAAGCCAAGTAAACAGTCTGTGGGAAAATAAAACCTTCTGCATTTGTGACTGAGTACCAATCAAAGCTTCCATTATAGAGTTCATGGAAACCACTGCACAATTTCAGTGACAGATGAGGGGAAACTTCTTTTATGAGAAGAAACCCCACACGTGTCAGCGGTACTAAAGAACAACCCAAACAGTACTGAATATCTCACTACAGTTCTCTCTCAAGATCACCTTCCAGTGACTTCCATAAAAGATAAACTTGAAAAAGCACTGAATTTTTGTACACWGTAACTGCATGTTTATACTTCAGAATATAATTTATAAACTAACTTTGCTGGTAAGAATTCTTACTGTAAAAGCAATTTATTTTTCTTTTGAAAGGAAAAGTAACTCCATTTTCTTTCAGAAGGTTGTAGTTTATTTGCATTTGTGTGATAAATTAATATATTCAGTTAAAGTAAATATTCCATRATAAAGTCTATTCAATAAAGGTGTTGGTTGCACAAGCTTTCTCCCCACTGGCAGCTGGCTCTGCTTTTCCTTGGTGCCAGTGCTATACACTATAGATCTGTACTGGATCCTTTTCATCAACAGAGYCAGGAGTTTGTTTCATGTAGCAGTATTACACAGCCATTTTTTCCCTCCAAATTGGAACAACAAATTTGAAACCAAATMTTTTATTTGGCCAGAGAAATCAAATTAAGAAAAGTTCAGAAGCTGAGCATTAACAATATCCAGTAACATAAGTACATCAGGAAATCAGATCTTTTAGATGACATCCTTCAGAAATTCTAACATTAACTTCTTTAATAGCAAGTATAAGCAAAAGGAGATGTTTTGTTCAGAGGTGAAAGTCTACACTTTCAAACAATGAGTTCAGAATAGTATAACATTTCTCAGATCACTACAACAAAGCACATAACCTAATACAGAAATGAATTGAATTGTTGCCTCTTTGAATCCAAAACCAAATTTGGATCCAAAATCCAAAACCAATCCAAATTTTGAGGTTGTGTATGGCCACAGCAATAGAATCACAGAATTGTTTAGGTTGAAAAATACCTCTAACCATTGTCCTAACACTGCAAAATCCCACTAAACCACATTTCTAAGCACCAAATTTACACTTCTAAATACTTTCAGGGATGGTGACTCTACCACTTCCCTGGGCAGCTTGTTCCAATGCTTGACAATCCTTTCCATGCAGAATTTTTTCCTAATATCCARTCTAGACCTTCCTTGGCACAAAATGAAACACTGTCCTCTAGTTCTGTTGCTTGTAACTTGGGAGAAAAGACTAACACCAAACTTGCTACAACCTCCAGTCAATAACGGGCTCCAAAATGCTGAAAATAGAAGCAAAGATTACTATGGTCTCTTATCCTCTCTCTGCTTATAGTAGTCCTGTTCGTGTTGAGTAGGAAAGGCTCTATATACTGAGAKTTAGGAAAATTCAGTCCTTATGATGAAGCCAAAGAAAATTACTGAAAAATGCAGATTAAAAAAAAAAAACAGCTCTGACAAGTATAAGCCTAAATAATTGTAATTCCAGCTCTTCCCAAGTTCTAGAACAGAGAGCCTGTGTCCTSAGTACTTCCTGGCTGTGTTTAGGGAGAGTTGGGATGTGTCAAACACAACTGGGCCATGTCCAGGGGAGGTGCTGGCAGGCACAGCATGAGGCAGCATTGCAGGTAGCATGGGACTGGTCACACCTCATTTATGCACTAAATCATGTTACAAGAGGGAAGCCAGGGAAGCCCACGTGGTCCTGTCTAGTGACTCTGACTGGRTGCATACAGAACTATTTGGCCATCAATTCCTAACAGAGCAAACCCATAACCTACATTTCCTTTTGTTTCTCCTTGGATACCCATTAATTTCCCTGCTCCCTCTGTCCCTTCCATTCCCCACCCTTTTTACATCCAATCAAAAGCTTCTTCCTGACTTGGGGCACAGCTCACACAGCATGAGGCTTTCTGCCTCACCACAAGGCTTCTTCAGCTCTTTCCGTTTCCTTTCATCTTCCCAAGGGAAGATTAAGCCTGAGAACCCGAGAAAGCACCAAGGAGAATACAATTTTATGTGGTCTTCCATTTTCTTGAAAGAATAGGTGAGAGCTGCAAAAGCAGCATGTAACACACGAGATAATCTGCTTTACAAGGTGCAGCTCATGACTTTGCAACATTTCAGAAGTTGAGTGCCTGGAACTGCCTGCTTGGATGAGTGATGCCTTCGGTCACTTGTGAAAAGTTAGGTTAAGGAACAAGGCCCCCAGATGATTCCATAGCAGACCAAGTAGTCCTCAGCACTGAAGGTAAGTATCACTGACTGTGACTAGAAATTAAATTTAAAGTAAAAAAGGGAGAATCGCACCTGTTTCTGGGTGACCTGCCTCCATATATTGTTTATWTTCATTACTGATACCACTAGAAGTATTACAGTTACTATTTTTTTTCTTAATAGGTAAAAAAGTATCCAGGGATGCAGTACTTAGAGTAGTTTTAATGTTTCAGGTAAGAATTACAGCTTCTGAATTAACATTAGCATTTCAATAATCAGTTTAAACAAGATCTTCAGAGAACACTCTGYGGTCAGACACCATACTGTTGAAATTCCTAAAGAATCACATTCCCCTCATTTCTCGTAATCGGTTTCTCCTTCTTGTTCCCATCACCTTTTAAATACACAACCTACCTTTCTAAATTCAAACACTTTGCCCAGATTACATTCTCCACTGAAGTCTCTGACATTATCCTGAAGTATTCCAGAGCATATTGTTTGCTTTCACAGCAATACATACAGTTTCTGGCATGCAGTCAAGCACTTAAAAAAAGAGGTATCAGTAATCCCAATTCAGGCATTTAGTGGGTACAACTTCATCACTCATACTGCAACCTTCAGGCATTTAGTAATAAATGAAAACCAGTTAGCACATCATTTAAGGAAAAGGTTAACTGCCAAGCCATATAAAGTTTAAGTTTTCTGAAGCACTGCAAGCTRAAAATTATTTCAATGTTTTACATCCTGGAATTTCAGTGAAATCAGATTTATTGGTTATTCTTGCTAAATTATTGGTCTTTTACCTCTGACTTATCTTGGTATATTCTTTACAAATGTGCTGGGTATTGAAAAACTGCAGCATTTTGATGTTTGAAAAGTTCTGAAAAAGTTGGAATTACTCCGACTTCTTATGTTCTTCAGTGTGGGAGAGTACCTTTCGCCTCTGATGTAGCATATGGAAATACAGCTGWGGGAAGACTGAGGAGAAAACACACTTGAGTCAATAAAATGTGAAGCGAGGCCTGCAAGATGCACAATCACATGGTCAAGGTCACCAATTCCTTATTACAGGATGCACTTATCCTCTTTTTGCTSAAGTTATTTATTGCCTTTTATACTCTAAAGAGATGAACTGGTATTGTTCTTAGGCTTCAGGTACTTTTTTTTTGCTAGAGCAATCACATTTGTAATTAAATGCAAAATGCCTTATTTAACTCGCCATGTACAAGCAGATGACGAAAGTTGCCTTAACTGCACGAACACAATACAGAGAACAGATTGGAGGGAGGAAAAAGTCCTTTCAAGAGAAATTTCCAGATTTGTTTCAATTTGTGTAATTCTAGTGTCACTTTCAGACCCTAAGGCACTTTATACAAACCAGTGCCTCTTTCATCTCTCTCCATCCAAAGCTTTTTCTCCTCTTATTTCTAAGACTCTTACACAGTATGTCTGTAGAATAAAGCAGGAGATAGAAAACATACATACACAAACAGCAAAAGCTGAAATTTCCATGAGATACCAAACCTTTGTGAACCATGCAAAAATTAAACAAGGTCATCAGCAGGCTAAATTGGTTAATTCTATGTATGTTAATCCCACAATTATTTGCTTTTACTGTTACAGTGTTAATACTAAGAAACGTAACAAACTCATACTTACTGGGAATGTAGGAGATCATAACCAGGATCAGGAATGTATAGTAGTCAAATGAAAAATTGTACTTGTTAGGTAAACTAATGGAATACAAGCCAGACTGCCTGACGAAGGGTAATGCAGCATATATTGTGAGTAATTCACCTGAGACTCCCATTGGATACAACACTATAAACAAAGTGTACCTAGAATGAAACATACACAGAAAGAATTTAACGTTACAAGAAACTCTTGACAAAGTATTTGTTAAATGATATTATGGATATTCAAATTTTGAATTCTCAACTCAGTATTTACTTTTCTTAGCTCTTATTTTTTTAGAGCATGGCAAGGTATGAACATTATTGCAAGGTAAGTAGTCAAATCAGCAATTGTTTGGAAATATTTAAATATCTGAGAATCTAAAAACTATCTTTAAAACTACACTACACACACACACAATTAACTCTGAGAGAGGTCATTTTACGACTTTAAATGATGCCAAATATATCTGATGTTAATCAATAACCTTAAAGATTATTTCAAGGACAACCACTGGATTCAAGAATTACTGCTAAATGTCAGTTTACTTACTGTCATCCCTTACTGTCAAATATCAGTTTCTGACAAACAATCATTTTGCAAATGGAACTGAGCTCAGACAAACTACTCTTTCAGCTTGCAATAAAACAGATTTTTGGAATCCGCAAATCTGCTGTAAAGAAACTAGGCAGTCACATTCACAAACATGACAATTACCTGAAGGCAGAACCTAATTTTTTGCACTGCAACTACTTTACAAGATAAATATCCCTGTCAAATCAGTACTTTAAGTCTGTGATTTTTATTATGCTACCAACCTGGCCCATTTGATGAGATAAGGGAGATGGTTTAACAAGCTAAACGTGTAAAAAGAGTAACGGATTATCTCGGTGATTGTCCAGGCCACTACAAACAAGAGAACACTGTCTTCAGTTTGTACCTGTGAGAAAGGAACAGAGGCTTAGTATGAACTCCAGCATTACCAGTTCCTCCCCACACTCAAGAAAACCTCACAGAAATCAATTCTTGTGGGTTGCTTTACTGCATCATTTAGAGAACAGACTCCAGGAATGAGCTTAAAAGCAACATTAGTAACAACAGTAAAACACCCTTCTTATCATGCTCTGTATTTTCCTAGTTGCTTAAGAAGAGATCTGCTTCATGACCAGGTAACTTGAGCTCTCATATCCCCTGCAAGGTAACTTGGTACAAGAAATCCCTGAAATGCTGAGTATAATTGTTAACTCTTCCCATTCCTACAGAGTACCAGCTTCTATGTTTGGTCCTGCAAATGTCTCCTAGGGCAGAAATTTGATACCTGGTTTAAACTTAATATTCTGATACTACTTCATGGTACTTCTGAGTAGAAGCACTGTTTTCCTTTATCTGCAGGTGAGAAACTGGGTCTTACTCCTGAGCAGCAGCAAAACAGCTAACACCAGATCTCAGGCTGGGAGAAGAAAGCAGCACAATTGTCTCACCTCAGGTAAGCTTGGCAGGTACCTGATTCACTGTTCTTGCTCCATTTTCTGCTTATTGTAACTAGCATAGTTCCACTAATGTTTCACTCAAGTATCATGTTTCACTGCTTTACACCTTTTGGAGCTTTTATGTCAGTCACACATCACTGAACCAGCTCTAACTCTTTCCATATTTTAACCCTGAGATCAGCTCAATTGGTCCAAGCACGGTGCCAGTAATGCCARTGTGGGTTTGATCCCTGTATGGGACGTTCATTTAGGAGCTGGACTCAATGATCCTTGTTGGTCCTTTCCAGCTCAAAATATTCTGTGATTAACTGCCTTTATCTGGAATATTTAGAAGGTTAATCCTCAAAAGCACGTATTTTAAAATGAAGAGTTAGATTTATTAGATTATGGAGCATCATTATGAGGTTCAAGTTCCAGATGGATCAAGTACTGTATGTAGGGTCACATAYCCACAGTACAAACCCTTGAGAGAGCAGACATGAGTTTTATGCATCCTTCTCCTTCCTTCCTTCCCCTCTTCAACACAATTCCCAGCTGTATGAGCACCTTGAGCCCAAATTCAGTGGACTAGGGGAACAAAAAGAGCCCAGCCACAGKGGCCCACATTTTCTCTTTTCCTCCAGSTCTTGAAAAAAGGGAAAAGGAAGTCAGGATATGTGGGTGGTGCACTCTATTCATCTTGGACAAAGTACAAACCAACAGAAAAAAAAATGAACAAGGATATATGGACAATCAGAAACTCTTTAATAGGAGGGGACTAATAATGTATTTTTGGGTAAAAACTCTCATGGGAATTACCCAGAAAAAGCTTTGTTACAGACTGCAAAACCCAGAAAAATTTATACAGAAATCTTGAGCTATCCTGGAATGTGGAGCTGCTGGTAATCTGTATTGTGCTGTAAATCTATGTTCTGCYACGTGTAACATTTCAGGTCATTTTTACTGCATTTTGCAGCAAAAGCACCTTATTCTTTTTCCACATTTTGATAATTTGTTTAGATATTAATCTCCCTTACATCATCATAAAAGAGCAAAATCCAAAAATTATTTRAAGATTTTCAAAGACCAAATCTATTTTACACGTTGCTGCAGGATCCTAATCCTGTTTGAGGCCTGCTTTATAAGCAAAACCTAGCTCTTAACACAGAAAAGTTAACAGYACTTCCCAGATGCTGCTGTTCCAAAGGAGGAATGTGCTTGACAAGCACTCCAGAGCTGCATCTTCTGGTCAAATTGGGAGTAGCAGCTTAGTGATGAGTTCACATAAACCTGTGAGTCACAGGTTTCAACCTGGACTTTGAAATCCCACTTCTTTCCCTAGCTAAGGAAAACAGTGAAGTCAAAACCCAAAGGTTTGTAGCCTGAAGTGGCATCCAAGGATACGAGCAAGGACAAGAAACTGGGACGCTCAGWGTGAATCATACACATGGAAGTAGAAAATTACAGCAGTTACAGTCCAGTTCTATCATATGACTTCTGTAACACTGCCTTCAAGGTCTAGTCTCCCCCCCTTCCTTTGTATTATAAATTATTAAAACAGTATTAAAACAGTTCACACCATTATGAAACACACAACCCTGTTAGGTCACCTAAGGAATCACTAATAGTGCCTTAGCTTGTGTCCCTATTTAAGGAAGAAAGGGCACTGGAAACTGGTGGCTATTATTATAAAGGATGCTTCTTGCATGCTCTCTTAGCCGTCAGAAGTCTGTCACTATCACAACATCTCTTTGAGAGACAATTTTTTGAATCTCAGATAAAGATGACTGTAATGTATATTATCAAACACCKGAGAACTGATTTACAAAACTGTTTCTCAACTGTTTCTTACTCCTTCAGCCACTGCTAATGCTGCATTTGCATCATTACATTTCCACCTCATTACACATTACAACTTCCAGGTTGAAGGCAAATACACAGTAGACTTATTTTAATAAACCACTAAGGTCAGTGCTGCCCTGAGAATTCACTTCTTCTTCCACTACTTTTTTTCATTCCAGTCTTTCAAAGAAGACTTAAAAGACACCTCATTTTTCACTTTTATTTACACTTCATTTGTCTAACACTCTTAATAGGGGTCAGTTAAACAATAGGCATAACTTTTTGGCATRTGTTTCAAACCAACATATCATCAAGGAGGGTCCTGAATATATTTCAGCTTTTCTTCAATACTATGAATAGCACACAATGTTTGTTAAAATATAAAAGAAACCACTGTCTTTTAAGATGCAAAGATGAGAACTGGGAGTTGACAAAATAAAKCCTGAGAGGTTTTTAATGTTCTCCTTCAGAATGGAAAGGGAAATTTCTCCACGTTAAGAGTAACAGTTTGACAAATTTGCAGAAAATTTCAGCTAAACACATAATTAAGCAATCCAATGCAGAAGAGCAAAACCAGCAGCACTATGCAAGTGTAATGATGGAAAATGTTGGAACAGCACGTCTCTCTCCAAAGAGCTGGTTCTCTGGTACAGTGATTAAAAAATAAAACAAAAAATTAAGTAAAGAAAAAGGAAGCCTCACAGTAGGCACAAAGGGCCTGACAGACTATTGTATTATATGGCATTCCTCAAATTTTACATAGATGTAAAGCAGTCATGAGTCAGGCTTTTCAACTGTACTCAGCCATTTCGAGTTCTGACTCTTCCAGCRTGGACTTTTTACTATAACTTAGTCTTCAATAAGATGTTCTTCCCTCTTTTAAGTAAGTATGCTTTACTAATGATTAAAGACATCAATTCAGAACTGCGAATACTAGAGTCCAAATTACCTCACATGCTGTATATGTTGTTTTCACAGCATTTCTTGACTGTTTGTTCTACAAAAGCTCCTCTAAATATGTATCACACTTATTTGCAACTTATCTGTAACTGAACCCAATGGAATAAGCAATAAATGCTTGCTGACACCATTTTTTAATTACCCAGCAGAACGGGGTACAGAATTATCTGTCAGAATGGAACTCCACAAAGGCCTGCCATGATGTCACCAGATGATCTCACTGCTCACACCAATTCAGAAAGACATCTTTTGAACTGAAGGGCACTTTCTGTTCTCCYATCTACATCCTCCCAGCCCTTCATGCCAGGCTGCTCTTTCTCCACCTTCCACTGCAGGGGAAACAGTAAAATTCACCAAATGGATTCCTTTCTGAYGTAATGGCCAGCACTGATTGCATGCCAGACCCTCCTTCACAACACCAACAACTGCTCCTACAACGCAAATAAGGAGAATCTCATTGCTACCCAAAGAAGTGTACAGTGCTATAACATTTCCATGCTTTAGCATTTATTATGAATAACTTCAGACTGAGTTTAACAACACATCAGCACTGAAGTCAACAAAAAGCACAAACATGTTAGTGGCAAGAGGCATGCTTCAAATCACATCACATTTCTAGAAGTGTACCCTGATAGAAGGAGGGATGCAATAYAGATTTCTTCTTTTAGCTGTGTTATGCATGAAAACAGTCTGGAAAAGCAAGATACTGAACAAGTCTCRCTCAGAAAGTTAAAGAGGAAAACTGTGTTTTATTTTACAACAACCTCATCATGCAACTGCATCGCTTACAAGTTCCATAAAGTTGTGTGAGAATTTAATCCTGGCCTTCACCATGGAGCTCACTTGTGCAGACAGCCCTTCAGAAAAAGTAGAACATTTGTGACACTTGCAGTACATCTCCCCAGGTGAGCTTGCAGGCTCCCTGGTTGGGGGAAGGGGAGGGCTCAGAACACAGCCTCTTATTTATTTGCTCTAAATCACAGGTCAGAAACTCATCACAGGATTCCCCCTCATCCTCACCATTCTTATGCCCACTTCCTAAGACATTAAAAAGTAACACATACATAGTCTCTTGCAAGACTTTAACCAGATGACCACACGAGTAGAGGGAAAAGAGTCTGCACGGAATATCGTTGAAAGAGTCAAATGCTTTCGGTTTTCCCTGGTGAGAATGTGAGCATAAGCTCCAAAATAATAGCTCACAATCACATTTTTTTCTCTGATGTCTAATAGACAACACATGGAATAATTCTAATCCATTCAATCTAACCTTTAATATTTGGGTTACTTCAAAACCAGGAGACAATTAATAAAAACAGATTATCACTATTCTTTACAGAGCACCGGGTATCCCAACATCATACAGATAACAAGCAAAACTACAAGAGTACTTAAAGTATTTTATACGTATATCTAAAATCTAATGTCTTGAGATTATAACTTTTTTGGTTTTGTTCAAAATCTAGTACTTATTTCCGGTGAATTAACAGAGACCAGAGTACATTAATTTACACCAACAGGGAAATCCATTAGAAAATAGTTATTTCCAAAATTTTAAATTTATTGAGAAAAACAACATTCCTCCACTTTAAATAACATGAAACTAAAGTATCAGCTAAACAAGCTTTTTCAAATATCAGAAAGGGCTGTTAATAACTAGGAACTAGTGACTTATGTTCCTCTACACAGATGCTCTGATAACAGCTTTGRAGGAAGGAAGAGAGAGCAGCTTCCCTCAGGACTTTGTAGTAAGACAAGCTCCTTAAGACATTCTCCATGTCTCCCTGTCAAATCACRATCTGATGCATAAAATGACTGTCACTTATTTCAGGCATCCATGATGACACTGGCATCGAGACTAATTTCCTTCTTTAATGAGAAGAAATCCAGTAAGATTAGTTGGCTAGAGTAACAGCAGAGATGCAGCATATTTGGGCTACTACAAGGATTCAGATGACATGAAAGTGTCAATCATCATAACCTGTRCCAATTAAAGCACATCTAGATTTTAAAACAGTTGTCAAGAAAAATTTTCAAAAAATATGGCTTCCAAAAGATTCTAAAGAGATTTCCATGAAGTACAGCAGTATTTGGTGTAGTGAGCAGTGAGGAAAAACACACAGCCCGCAAAAAACACCTGCATTTGAATGTAAGAAAATTGAATGAAGGACAGAGAAAAGATTATCCTGSAGAGTGACAATGGAGAGCATGGAGGCACTATTGTGCACTGCTGAGGGGCAGTTTCAGAAGTGAATTGTGTATGCAGGGGGGCAGTGAGATTTCACTTTTATTTATGGCASTAATGAGATAAATACTAGAAGATGGTACCAAATTCTGTGCTCTATGTTACACACTGGAACCTCTTTAACTGTCAGTAAGGACTGCAGAATCTGTTCAGGAGCTCGATGTCTTACAGTGAGAGAATCAGACCTCGCTCTGTTTGACYGTCAACAAAAGATGACATCACATCTATTTTTATTTCTTTTGATCCACAGAAATTCCTATAAASAATTTCACATGTTGGGATACAAACAAAAGACATTTTAAGGAAAATAAGATAGCAATCAACACTGGTTTTGCAGCATGGATCAACAGTTTTTCTATCAATTTGTAGCTTGATGTGTAGCTTACCTCTTTTACACTATGTGTTACTGCCCACGTCAGGAAAACCCTTGACATCACTTGGAAAGCAGTCAGAACAACAGAAGAGGGAACAATGCCTGGAAGATATTTTGTAATTAGTAAATATTCCTGACTAGCAGGGTGGGTGGTAGGGGTGGGGAAATAAAACACAGCTAAACCAAAGTCCAGTTATTTGAAATTTCTAGAAGGAAGGCATTTAATTTTTTTAAATTTGAAAATACCAAGTCAGTCCTTTGGTGTGTTTATACAGCCTAATGCAGTGYATCCCCTGACAAGACTTTCAGCATCAAAATGCAAACAAAAGTAATTGGTCTTGTTGCAATCACAGCACATTCCTCAATACACAGAAYAGCTCAATAAGATAATTTCAATCAAACAGCTTCTGGGATACAGTTTTTCAAATAAACCCTGTCTGATTAAAATATCCAAGATACTCTTCATTACTGTGATTTAAAAAGCACAACCAATAAATATGTTTTGCACTGTATATCCCAAAAAAACAGCCGGCAAAAATTATACGTATTTTTCAGAAACACTGATCCAACCCATCTTTTGATAGGTGCAAGGTTTATAATTCCTTCCTGGAAATACAACTCAAAAAACCTCCAAACCAACCAACCAACCAACCAACCCCACAACAAACCAACCCCAGGAAATAGCTGATGCATTGGTAGGTACAGAAACAAATTGCAGAGTTTCTCAAGGAAGCAGATATCACTGGCTCTTCCAGCAAGTTCTGAGGTGCTAAACTACTTAAACTGCCATAAAAGGATGCTACACATCCAGGTCTGACAGAGCAGTAGTTTTAGACCGCAAGATTACACAAAATTTCCAAACTTTGTGATGCAAAGTTTTTTTTTCTTCCAATAGCTAAATGAAAAAGACAAATGCAAGAGCAGGTATAGCTCCTAAAATACAGTAACAAGTGCTTCTAAAGTTAATGCAAATCACAAGCAACGTAACATCCTCAGAAAGATGCTGAAACCAAAGAGGAAAGTGACACAGGAAAAAAGAATGAGAAAAGTCAAAGGCAAGTTTCACTTGAATCATTTTCATTCATATGTTTGGTTTAAGAGTAAAAAGGAAAGTCCTACAGGCACACTTCTCTTCCATTTCATCACTTGTTGTCTGGGTCTCTGGGCTACACATTACCTCCTTTCCAAGTAGAGCTCTGCATTTTTAAAATCTTTGCTGTATGTCAAACTCCTGCTCTCAACCATCCTTCATGGAGACACTCCCCTATTMATCTTTGTATTTTGAAGGACTTGCCTCACAGATGCTAGCATTTCAGATTCTACTGAAAAGATGTGGGGAGAAAAGTTATGCTGATACACACAGCCATCTGTCACAGATAAGCTCTTCTATTGACAGAGAATTACAGCTCTGTTAGAGCAATTAGTTCAGCAGGGGCAAAGGAATCTGCAAATTTCCTGTTTCTCCTAGCATAGAAACTTTTGCTAGAATCAGTAGGACTACAGCAGACAGCAGCAGTTCATCCAGCTGTGCAAAACTCCCTCATTTTATTTAGCTGACAAACACTTCCATTAACAGAARAAAATGTAATCCACAGCCAGTTATAAGAAAACAAGTCTTTTGCAAAGAGCTTTATTAGGGAAAGCAAAAAGATTGAATAATAATGGTATAAAATGTTGCCACATTCCCCTAATGGCTCTCTTCACTAGTAYTAAATTGTGCCACTAAGGATAACATGGGCTAAATGGATCCACGCCTCAAATCAGCTGAGCCAGAATTATTAGTTTTGCACACAGACAGGCTGCATAATCATCTTGTTTGCTGTGCTGCATCAGGCTGCAAGATGAAACACAGACTCTCTCCTGTCACTCACTGGTTTGTATGGACACATACTCCCCAGATGTGAGGAAATGATAATTCAATTAAATTTTTTACATTCTTAGATTTAATATTAGTAAACATTGGTGTCTGCACACAAGTTTATCTTAAGAAAATAGCAGAGCATGGCAGATTCAGGATGGTAAAACCAGCATTTTAACGGCACGATTTTCTGTCCAGTGTTTCAAGATTTAACTTGTCCTTCTTGCCACTTGTTAGTAAGTCCTTTAAAAAGTCACGTTTTAATATTTATTTTTGACAATTTCTTTTTAAAGTATGGTTTATTCTGGTAAAAATCAGTAATAGAGATTCAGTAAAATGAAGCAGCATTGGAAGGACTGCCTTGGCAACACAGGCAAAAAAGTGAAACACCCAGTTTGCTCTGAGAAGCCTTTACATTAATTTGAGGAGTATATGATTATTCATTTCTTAGGATGATCTCTGCACAGTTTATGAACTGCCTTTTTAAGATGTTTTCAGAGTAATTGGATGATTCAGGACGGTCAGAACTACTTTATCAACGACAGAACCAGACTGCCCTCTGCTGACACATTCCTGTGCATGAGTCTGAGCTCTCGCAACTACCTCACTTGGTTATTAAAAACCCCTCAGGAATTCACTATGAACCTGCAGTCTAATATCCCCTCCAGTATGTGCACTGTCTGGATCATGAAGAAAACCAGCCAATTTGTAGTTGCAGCTTTAGGAACCTCAATTCCATCTTACTCTTTAAATACTGGCTAGTGAACTATAGTGATAGGAGCTGAATCACTGTTATATTTTTTTGTGACTTAACTTCTCAAATTAGGTAGTAAAAAACAGGAATGTATTTCAAACAAAAATTATAAGTTATGCAAGAATTAAATTCAACAATTCACAGGCCATAACATWTTTCTTGCTAACACATTGCTAAAAGTGCAGTCTTGTATAAAAATAATAAAACTGAAAATTTGCAAGCTTACCAAGTGCACAGTGCAGAATCTAGAACAAAAAGAAAAATTCAAATCAGTAACATTYCAAATTAAGCAATTCAGACACACATTTAGTTCTGTTACAAGAATTTAAARTTCAGTATTTGCATTTCAATAATTRTGATTAATATTTAGSTCTGCTGCCCAAGCTAAACAGCCRACAGTAAAACTCCCTCATCACTTGCTAAAAGGAAAATTTAGCTTTTGTGTGAGATGTTCAGTAGAATTAAAGTAAATGTAAGAAAYACATCACATTCAATGGAAATATTAGTGATACCAGGGAACCTACACCTACCTCAAGCAAAGCTCCAGTTTGGAAGAATTTCAGRGGTTTTTCTATTGAATAGTAAAGGCTGTGGTAGCTGCCTTTAGCCAGGTATGCCCGAACGAGGCCAACTGCAATAACGAGCCACCTGAAAGAGAGAAAAAAGGAGAYATTAAGCAAAGCATAAATACAAAGATATCTTTAATGCTTCTTTTRATACCTGAGAAAGCAATAGGCAAAGCTGCACTGAAATACACCAACTCTGCAACACTGGAAATGTTAAACACTTGCATCATCTGCAAATTTATCAAAGTGAAAGATGATGCATTTTTTAAGCATTTTCAGCACCAACATGATACCAATATCTCTAATGTCTCCATTTATTTTTCAGTGAGCTCTATTTAATTTGGTTATGGAATGTATTCATGGCAGATTGGGATCAGATCTTGTTTAGCTTAAGCAGAAAACACCTGACAGGAGGTTTCAGTTCTAGTATTTATCTAATTAGCCAGTCAGAGATCTCTTACCAGCAGCATGACAAACAAGATTCAGAAGGCATTGATTTTAACATTTCAGTTCAAAGTAAACACCTAGACTTTATGAGAGGGCATCCAGCTTAATTGGTAGCATATATTATATGAAAAATAGTTACAGATAAACAACTGCAAGGAAACTGAGCCTGCAAAAGCCTTGAAGTAACATGGCCATTCCCACTGCAGTTTTCCTTTTTAACCAAAAAAAAATACATCTAGGCCTATGTGAGTAGTGCCCATAGAAGTGCAACTGCACATGAACAGTGTCACCTGTTAACCCTGAGGATTTTCTCCTCAAGCAACTTAAATAAATATTAAAAATATTTCATCCTGGCTGCTGAAGCTTTCACTACCACAGCTGTCCAGAACTGGGCTTGCCCACAACATCAGAAATTCTTGAGTGAAGTCTATGACAAGCCACAAGCCCAAGGTGAGAGGTCAACCTGGTCAAAGACTTTTCTCATTTGAAAGCAGCATCTATTGTTAACTTCAGTTTCCACTTGCTTTTGGCAAACATGGAGAGAAGCTATCGGCTGGTCAAGAAGAAGTGGGAAATCCTTACATGGGGCTTCCAAACTTTTCACTGACATGGTCATCCTGGCTGTCTTACTCTCAGCTACTCTTAATGCCTCCCTRCTTTACCTCCATCTCCCTCCAAACCCCTCATGTATGTCACCAARTGTCTCTGTTAACAATTCACCTCARTGTGCAGACAKGTAGCAAGCCCCCTGACTATGCAATAGCTTTTACCCTTTGAAAAAAACTGTGTAGCTGTAACAGCAAAGATGAAGAAATTCCCTTCACTTACAGCATATTAGCATCTTACAAGTATYACATTTGCCTAGGTATTGCAAAGTATGTGCACATATTATCCCAAATGTAATAATTGTTTGAAACACACAGTGAAGTTCAGATTTCTCAACATAAGTGGTTCTGGCATCCAAGTTTGTGTTTGTAACGAAATCTGTTWGTAGAACTGAAAGAAAGATAATTAATTTCTGCCTCAACTTCTTGAAGACAAGCACCAAAGAAAAGCAGTAGGAGTGGGGAAGATAAATGGCAAAGAGAAACAAGCCCTSCCTTTTTTCAGAATGACAAGTTATTTCAGTTAAAGCTGTCTTGTGAAACCAAAGGACAAACATTTGCCAAGTAATTGCTGTTTACAAAAAATGAATCAGATTCATTTTGTRTTTGTACTTCAGTGTAGAATAAACCAGTAAGCATGACAGTATTAGTGATTCTCCTCTGCAACACCAACTGTTTCTTCTTTAGAACAGGAAATCACAGCAGGCTGACACTGTCCTGTTCTTATCTGTCAAATTTCTCTGTTTTTCCTGATCTTCCATGTTTGTTGAGAAACTCTGCTGAATTGAGCAATTTTTCCAGTTGCACAAGATGCCAGCTCTTGGTTGTGCCTGCAAACTGTTCTCACCTGAACAAAAGGACTGCTAAAGCCCGTGGCTCCCAGAGGAGCTGCAGCCTTTTGGTCATCTCCACCCTCGTGCCAGATCACAGACTCCAGGAAGACTGTACTTTCCATGCCATTTACTGTCCTTCAAAAAGCATTTGATATAGATCACAGCATTAACCCATACAAAATTAAAAGCTGAGCCTAGTTTGTGCTGAAGCTTTTAGTACCTCTGCCCCGCTTCTGTGATTCTTAAATAGTTCTTCACYCTCTAAGATTAGAGAAAATGGAACAGGAGAAGGTGAAACCAAGGAATATCAACTGAAAATGGAATTTGGCAAGAAGTTTAAAAGGGTAACAAAAGGCGCCACTGTCTCATGAAAGCTAAGCTTTACCTGATCTACACACTGAACTCTACCTGATAGCCCAGCTGGAGCTACATTTTATTAAATTACTGCTGCCCTGTCGGTAAACTGCAAACTGGACTATTACATGCTTTGATTAATCCAGAGTAAGAAAAATGAATACTACACACACACACACACACACACACACACACAGGTTTTTCACTTTCAGCCGGTCAGACTTGACAGACAAGCTTCGTGCTCAGGTCCTTAGGTTAACTCCCTTGATTCTCTCACAGGTTATAAAAAGGCCATTTTCTTTTGCAAAGTTTACCGAGGTTCTGCAACATTTATGCAACAGAATACAGCAGAGCTATGCAGTGAGTGCACCTGAAAGGGAGAAGTGTACTTTGACTCTCAACAACCACTCACTGAAGACATGGACAATGAAACTCATAACCCTAACCACTCTTTGCTCAACACTGATTAACACAAACCCTTGTAAATTCAAAAGCTATTACATTACCATTGATCTTGTTAAGTGAAACTCTTTTCAAATTCATTGTTTATACCACCACCAGCTACTTATACCCAGAAGTACTAGTCAGTTACAGCACTTGACTAAAAATAARAAACATAATCACCTTTTAAAGCAGCTTATCTGGCATTTACACTCAGYTCTCAAAGCATGCCCTGTCTCCCCACCCAGCACTATTCAGTGATTTTGGTCAAACACATTTTTAGGAAAAATAATTTCKATGCTGCATCTCTGCCTCCACAGTGAGCTTCCCATGCCAGGTCAGGCACAACTCCRCAGCTTCACACTGTGATGGGAAAAGAGTCTGACTGAACACAAGAGAAGCAAGATGCAGAGCTTTCTGCAGCTCAGTGCTTTGAACATGGGCAATAAAACCTGAGCAAGTACAGCTGAGAACCAACTGCAGGACTGATTATTCCTTATTGTGCCATTTTGGTCGTTTCTGAAAGAAAACATCCAAAACATGAACCAAATGGTAAGTGCATGCCGCTCCAGCTAGGGAGCCACAGGCACACATGCTTTTTCTACCGTTTTGCTCTTGCAAAAGCCACTGTATTACCAGGAATCCACTTACTACACGAACTGCAGCATAAAAAATAAAAATAAGATCTGGTATTTTTGGAATCAGCTGTGTTTTCTTTAAGTCAAGATAAATGCAAAGTAAATACAGTAACTATGCTGAGATTTTTTTCAATTGTTATTCGATACGTTTTAAATAAAGTTAATAGCTGAGGCAACTATGGTTTTAAAACATTTATTTAGCACTTAATTACTTCATAACTATGTTGTTGTGTACTTCARTTTATAGCTATTTGTCAAACAAACCCAACAAACCACTTAAAAAAAAATCCCATGTRCTTTTACAGCATCTCTTCATCATCTGGGCACCCTGAATTTTTTGGTATTTTCTTTTCACRATTCTCTTTCCAAGGCAGTGCAGTGTGAGAAACAAAGTCTGAGCMCTCTGACTGACATTGGGTCAGTAACTAATCACTGCCATCAGCTGTGTATCAATCTTTAGATCTTCTCATCCAAACAACTGACCTTTTGCCAACCAGCTCCAGAAAAACTACCTGTCTGAAAACAAACAAACTGAGCTTTTGTCCTAAGCTCAACCTTGTATATTGTGGAATTTCAGCAGTGGAAGTGCAAGCTCCTAATCTGTTTGAAGACAAATTATCAGTCAGAGCCCTCGGTGACCTACCCCAAAAGAAAAGTGAGAGAGAAGAGAGATAGGACCATGATCACAGAATTCCTGTGGTAACTSCCCAAATGGCAGAAATCATCTAATCAAAAACACATCCAGAAAAAAAGCAGCTCATGTTAAAGCACCACAGATCACCTCCCACCCAAGAGTGGAATTTTCTAGGAAGTTTGGTGTAAACTAGGAGAACGGATAACATGATGATCAGAAACATGACAACAGGAAAAGTGGGTTTCTAGCACCCGAATTTTTAAAAATTTCATCTTCTGAACAAATAGAAATTTCCCATGCCCAGGAGCTTGCTTGCCATGACATAAAGCTCATAATCATKAAAAAAACTCCATTTATACCACATCTTCTCTCTTAGATTTTTGTTATCTTTTATAAACACAACTAAATTGCATATGAGCAGCAAAATAAGCAGGGAAATGCTTTTATTTCTTTCTTAGAACAGCTCAGACAAGTGAACTTGTTAACATTTTATGCAGGGACACCACAACAGAATTGAAAGGCCCTCCTGACTGACTGCAATGTATTGTATTACTCATKTAATTATTTCTGAAACAACAGATTACTGAAATCAAAGTGGTGGGTAATCATCATTGCCCTCTGAGTGAAATACCCTGCAAATATCATATGGGGTCACAAACCTGCTTAGTAACATTTCACAGTAGCCCAGCTATTGGGTAACGGGTGTACCAAGCACCTCACAAGAACTGAGCTCTCCCCACTCCCCTTTGCTCCACATGAGTGTGGTGCTGACACAACACCAGCCGTCCCCAGCAAAGACAAGAACCTTCATGTCCAACTGYCTTACTGAAGTAAATTGTCTCTATATTAATTCTACCCTAACTTTCCCTCCAAACATGACACGGCTGTGTGTGCTTACCTCCTCACCTGCCAGGGTTCATCTGGCAGAAAACACTGGGATTTGGGATTCATTTGGGATCCATTTGAAAGGCTCTTTTCTCCTCCCACCCAAATATCCTCAATCTTTCTTAAGATGGTTTTATTTTTATCTGGATTCCAGTGAGATGCCACCATCACATTTAAAAAAACAAAACAAAAAAGTATCTCTCCTGAGAGTTCCCAGTTGTCGCTGATTTTTGTGCGTAAGAACACACCTGAGCAAGCACCCATTGGTCCCAGTCTGCATTCTGCCCAGCAGAATGCAGAGCACCAAGCTGGTCCAGGAGCTCACATGTCCCAACAGCAGCTTTCAACCTCAAATTACAGAGTAGCTCAAGAGTTCATGGGCTTGAAAGACTCAAGAGCTTTGCCTTTAACCACTGCTGTGGATAAATTCTCTGTACTTAGGGTCACCTCTCCACTGAAAACTGCCGGAATCCACACCACAGACACGGTGATCCAAGGAAACTACATTCACCTGAATGTGAAAATTGCTGCAGAGCAAATTAAGGTGTCAATTACAAAACACGGCAGCTCCCAGGGCACACGCACTTGTGCTGCCGTGCAGAACTCSTTGTGGAAGGGGCGTGTGAGGGAGGACAAGCTGCGGAGGGCTCGGGCAGCGCTGAGGGTCACACCCGGCCCAGGCCGGGGGGACCGCAGGAGGGACCGGCTGGGGGCACCCCCGGGTACCCAGCCTGGCTTTCGGTCACAGGGCACGGTGGAGACACGGGGCAGCGGGAAGGCAGCTGCGAATGTACGCGCAGGAGCGCCTCTGCAGCACGAGGAGCAGCGAGCGAGGGGCCGGCTGTGCTTTTCAGCGTTATCCAAAGAGCGAGGCAGCAGCGCCCACAGCACGGGGGGCACGGGGGGCACAGCCACGCCTGCGGACCCGGCACCCGGGCGCTGCAGCCGCAGGGGCTCGGCCGGACGGGAGCGCGGGCACGGCGATGGAGAGGCCGCTGCTCTGCGCCCGGACCCGCTCCCAGCGGCGCGGGGGAGCCGCCCTGCCCTGCCCTGCCCTGCCCCGCCGGACCCACCCGCGGCCGCAGCCCGGCCGAGCGCAGCCCCACGCCCCGCCGGCGGCCCCGGCCCGAGAGCCCCCGCTGCCGCCCCCGCCCGGCCCTTACCCCGCCGTCATCACCACGTTGTAGATAACGAGGTAGCCCGTGGCCAGCGCGCCCGGGCCCTTCCTGCGCCGCGCCTGCTGCCCGCCGTAGCCGTTGTCCGCCCGGCTCCCGCCGCTCCCGGCCGCCGCCATCTCGCGGCTCCCGCGCCCCGCCCGCTGCCGGCGCTCGGCGGGCACGGGGCGGGACTTCCCGGGAGCGGGGCCGGGCGGGGACAGCTCCGCGCAGCCGCGGGGACCCCATGGGCTCCTCGCACCGGGCACGGCGSGGCTCCCGGGGCTCCACCCGGGGGAGGCGGYGTTCCCGGGAATCAGGGAGGGATGYCCGGCTGGCGATCAGCGAGGCATTCGTTCGCTTTTTAGGGCAGCTTCAAAGCGCCACTCTGCAGGGAGAAATAGAGCTGCCGTGTCCTTAGAGACATTCATAGAGTTAGCTGGTAAGGTTATTTTTGGAGTATGTACTAGGTTTTTTACACTTTTGTAATATAGTTCAGAGGAGAAAAGATGAGAGGCGATCTCCCATTAATGCACATAATTAWCTCAAAGGCGGGTGTCAAGAGGATGTGCCASAGTTTTCGGTGGTGTCCAGSGACAGGACAAGGAGCAAYGGCCATAGACTAAAACACRAGAAGTTTYACCTCAACATGASGGAGAACTTCTTTACGCTGAGCGTGGARAGCACTGGACAGACCACCCAGGGGGRTCGTGGAGTTTCCCTCTCTGGAGACATCCCAAACCCTCCTGGACCCGTTCCTGTGTCYCCTGSTCAGTGGGGGTTGRACTGGATGATCTCCAGAGGTCCCTTCCCACCATAACGATTCCATGATCTTATGTGAATAGAAGTTGTAACCCATTTCCTGCTGAAGCTCCCTACAAGAGCAAAAGCCTGGAACGCATTCCCTTCGCAGCAACAAACATTCAAGCATCCTCGTCAGGGCAGACAGAACTGCCTTTCTGAACAGCTACAACGAAGGATTTTTTTTTTTTTTCTCCCCTGCAGATATTGTAAACACGTCGTGGAGTTAGTTCTCCACTCCCATAAACATCTCTCGGTTTATTTCCCATGCATGTCATGGTGTAGTCCCTTTATGAGCAGTGCGRAATAACAGCATAAGCCTCGCTCTCCATCCCAGAAAATTCTGCTTCCACATGAGCATCTTTGTGGTCTTTTAAATTCACGTATACATCTCTTGCAGAAACAGGGCTCAAAATGCAAAGATGATTTATGAGAATTCCATTTTCAAACAGCTATGCTTTAGTGCAATGTTTCAATAAATATACCAAGAAATTTTAGAGAAACAAATCATTCATTATTCATGTATGCAACTAAAAAAAATGTCTGTTTTCAAAGCCTGACAATCACTGCAGAGGAGAGGGCTGTGGAGTCCAGTGCTGTCCTCATTGTCAGCAAAGGGAAGAAGTGACCCAGCCATTGCATGTCACGCATGCAATTAGCAAAGGTCTCCTGATCAACCAGAAATGTGCACAGGATGCTTGGGACGTCGGATAGGACAGTCATTAGGTAAATTAAGTTTCTGCAAATCCAGAAACAAGAGCAGTGAAAAACGGCAGCCAGTCCAAAATTTTCTATGTCTCTTGAGAAGAATGAATGTCATGTAAAAAAAAAAATACAAGGATAATCAAGTGGTTTCACCTTGGGCAGTACCAGTGTCTTGCATAATCTCTGCTAGTGGGGTTTCAGCCCTGTGACACCCCAATAATGGCTTCCTGCAAACATTATACAAGCAAGACGAGGTTTGTAGAAAGAGATAATGCCTTTTATTTGACCATGGCTGGCAAAATGAGACAGGGTTTCAAGCACATAAAATATGCTTCTTCAGTGGAAACAGAATTCTGTTCTTCAAACAAAACAAAACACTCAAGGTCAAATACAACTTGGAGTCAATTGCACAGAGCTGAATTAGATGCRTGTCACATAATTTTGGAAATAGAGGTCATTGTTTGCTGCAGACTAGAATGGATGTTAATAGGAAGTTAGAGGGAGATGATAAACTCCTTGGAATATCCTTGGGGCAAAAGAAAAACAGGCAGAGTATAGCCTATTGTGGAGTACAAAAGGACTAGCAAAGAAGGGAAGGGAAGGGAAGGGAAGGGAAGGGAAGGGAAGGGAAGGGAAGGGAAGGGAAGGGAAGGGAAGGGAAGGGAAAATCCGTGCAGGAACACCAAGTCTGTGGGTTTTGATAGCCAGTCCGTGTATCCACAGACACTGCTGTGCCCAGAGCAGCCCATCAGAGACAGACCTTTTCCTGCATGTGCCCGCCTGGGTGGAAAGCAGCAGTCACTGAACAAAGCCAGGTACATTCACACCTCAGCGGGACACACTTCGCAAGGATGGCTGTTTGAAGTGCTGAAGACTTGCTCAAGAAACATGTTGTGACAAGCAGGGTGTTTGCACAATCTTTGCTTCAAGGAGTTTCTGTGTGGTCCTGCATGGTCTGTGGTGTCTTGGGCATATTAGGAGAAGTTTGCMTAAGGGCAGCACAAGAAGATTTGTTGTTATCTCTGTCTTTCCAGTTTTTAGAAATATGGGTGTAAGTCCCTGTGTACACTGAGACTTCTATGATTTTTTTTCTCTCTTCCTCCTACGGTCTGTCAGAACACTATGTTTCCCAACCATAAGGGAATTCCCAATGGTGAAACAAACYCACAGCTGCCCTGGTGCCCCATCCACATTCCCTGTGAGTTGGGGATGTGGCAGAGCACAAGGCCAGTGGTGCCAGTCCCTGGCTGTGGCTGGCAGCACTGGAGCACAGCAGCCTCTGCAGAGCACCAGCCTGTGCTGCGGGGCAGGAGGAGAGAGCAGCACCACGGAATCACATCAGGGTGGCACTTGCCACCTCATGGGTTTGTGTGCCCAGCAGCTCTCAGGGGCAGGAGGAGAGGCTTGACCAGGGTGACCACGGTGACGCTGCAATAGAGCATACGAGGAGTGTGCTTTGTGGTAGTATTTATTTAGGAACCGTGAGTAACTACAGCCGTAGCAGTCTCATCTTTGCAATTCTGATGGTTTAACAAACAGGGAGAACATTAGCATATTTTTATTAAGGTACAAAATACACCCCGTTGTTGCCTAAAACATAAAAAAAAAAAAAAAGTGAGGAAAGCTCTGTATGCTCTAAATCAGATTCAAAACCTTTCTGTATAAGGAATTGTGGCAATACTGTGTTTAGTATAACAAGAGGTTTTTATCAATCGAAAAGACATGCTGGCAATCTGAACTTAACAACAAAGAGTAAAGCAGTTAAAAACCATCGTGTCACCCACATTAGTTGAGCTTTGAATGCAGAAGAGCAAATCATATGAAACACATATGCAACTAGGTAATATCAAACAACCTAAGGTTGATAATGTACACACCTGTATTAAAGTACACTGACTACTTAATGGTGAGGATTTAAGGTAATGTCTTTTTTTAAAAGAGGTAACCTTTGAAATGCAAATGGTTGCACTTTACACACAAAAAGTGGAAAAGAAAAAGAATCASTTTCGGAATGATACATAGATATAAGACACACTGGTTTTGGATTATGCATATCACCTTGCAGCCTCTGATATTACCTCTGAACAACAACAAAAAAATTAAAAAGTGCCAATACTGTGAAAGGAAAGCAAAGATACTAAGTCTGAGTGCATTAACCATTTCTGAGAAAAAAAGGGGGTTTGGATTTTTTTTGTTGTTTTGTTTTTCTGCGTTTTTAAAAAACGCAACAGCCTTACTGGTGCAGGTTCAAGACAAAAACAAGACAGTCAAGCTCATAAAGTAGAAATAAGTYCTATATAGGTTAAGATTCTTTGGAAATCGCTAAGAATAGAGGAGTTTGTAATCCAGGCTACTATCTTTTTTRCCTACTCGAAAAATCTGTGGGAGTTTCCAGCTTATCATCAGTTGAAATCTGTTTTGCAATTGCCAAATAAATGCAAGTAAAACTTTAACTAACCTGGGATTCCATTCACACAGATGCACAGAGAAATCATWGATTGTGCAATAACCTGTTTTTCACAGCAGCATATATATGAATCAGACATCATTATTAGACTGACCAGAAACACAGAAAATATTCTCAGTCTTTGTGTTTTCTTTCTGTTTCTTAAGTAGGCAGCTGTAACTGCGCTGGAGTGACAGGCTCCATAAGGGAAAGATGACAAAGTTCATCCCTGACAAAGGGATCAGCTGGCTAAAAGCAAGATCAGGAGTATCTCAGGAAAGCACCTGGATATTTAATGTTAGCCAGTAATACAAGGGCACTAACAGCTCACTGACAGGCGGTAAACGTGTCTGAAGTTTGGGCTGTGAGAGTCTGCTTGAAGCAAATGAAAAATGAACCATGTCAACCTACAAATTGCAATGCTGGCTGTGTCAAACCTTCCCTTACAGSAGATACAGCTCAGGGAGCAGCCTATTCTTTAGGACTGGAGAGATTCACTGCATGTCTGGCCAATGATTCCTTTAAAGTAGATCTCGGGGAGCCAACTTAGCTGCACTTTTGGCTGAGAAAAGTGATGCTAAGGAGCAATGAGCTCAGTGAATAGACTATTTTTCTTTAAGATATTCAGAATATAACTTGTTTTCCATATATTTGATTTTAAAAGTAGTCTGGGCAACTTAGTTGATGGCTTGCTTAAAGTCAATTCAATCATGCTAGCAACTCAGAAGTGCCTGCTGGTTTGAAGTAATGCCCATTATAAAGCTAACAGGTATCAACTGATCATGCTGAAATAGCAACCCCCCAAAGACCTACGTGTCACACAAGGTGCTTTTGATAACTTGGTTTTCTGAGCCTTATAAGGAGAGTCTTTAAATATATTTTTTCTTTTTTTTTTTTTTTAAGCCTTGTTTCATTCTTCCTCCTCCTCGCCTTCGTCTTCTCCTTCTCCCTCTCCTTCTGCCATTGTTTCCACAAGGAGCTCTGCGGTGCACGTGGCTTCCCCAAGGCTGTTAACAGCTCTGCAGGTGTATTTGGCATCATCGTCCCCACATACTTCAGAAATAGTCAAAGAACAGTTCCCTTCCTCATCATAATCTATCTGGAAGTGACGGGACTCCTTGACAGGCTGATCATCCTTGAACCACATCACCTCAGGGTCGGGATAGCCTGGAAGAGCGGAGAGAGAACAGYGACTGCAATAAACGAGCATTAACTCAGAGCTAATT